CAGCATGGCTGCACTGATCATCTGCGCCGACAGCACACGGTATCCATAAGCAAGGGCCTGCAATTTTTACTGGTCAAATTTGAGAAAAACGACCGCACTAGGCGCAAGGAAGCGATTATCACATTATTCCTAAGCAGCTCTCGAAAGATGGAATTATCCGCCACCACGAAACTGGTTTTGGCACGTGCTGCCACTCACGGTGCTTGAGATTAATGCAGTGCTAATGCAGCCCCTGACTTTTATTTCCTAACAATTATTTTTTATTCCTTTCAACTGTAGCTTTTTCAAGGACCACAACAGCGTCAAAAATCTTTTAACTACTCTGAAAGAACAGCTGTGTATTTGGACTCTTTCGCACAACATCTGCACCTTTCAATCTTGAGGAGTAAAATGATAATCAGAACCTTATGCTGTTGCATTTCCGCAAAGATACTCTCACGTTTCGCCTCTGTCAAAACCTTGGAATCGTCAGCACCTGAAATTCACGAAAAACAAGTCTAAAGAACAACTCTGTTAAAGATCATTAAATTAGTAAACAAAGCTGAAGGGTAAGTTTAAAATTATAGAAAAGCGAGACGCGCAAACAATTTGCCAAAGTGTACTTCTACTAGATTTACCAGGCCATCCCCTCCTGCCGAAATTTTTGATAATCTTTTTAGTAAAAATATTGGAAAGCGCTTTTTTTTTCACCTAATATCTAGCCTCTGAATATAATTTAAAACCCTAACTAGTCGCTGTCTCATCCTGGTGTTTCTTCTCATCCCTAATGCAGTTGGCATCATTTCCATCTCAGCTATTTTGCACGCCCCATCTGCAAAATTTCATGCAGTCGTTCGTGCGAATTCCTCCGCTGTATTTTCCATTATCCTGTGTGCTTCCAGCGCCTTCTGGGTATCATTCAGTAATCCACTGTTATGCGTTTTGTGCAATGTAAAAGCAGTACAAAACGCATACTGTCACGGAGTTGTGTGTGTGTGTGTGTGTGTGTGTGTGCCACATTTTGTCCCGCACTTTCAACTCGGGAACTACAAAAGCTAGGTGACCGAAATATTAGTATAGTGTTCCCCGCCAACGGGTGACGTGGCAAATTTAAATTCAGCTTTCCCGTTGCCGCGGGTAACATGTACGACCACGTAAAGTTCCTCGGGTAAAACCAGTATCTCGGGAACCACGGAAGGTAGAAGGCTGAAATTTTGTGAGCATGTCCCCCACCCATGTGCTACCCAGAAAATTTAAATTCAGCTTTCCCCCGCCTGTGGGTAACAAGTACAGCCCCGTGAAAGTTTTTGACGGATAAATTATTATCTCGGGAGGCACTGAGCCTAAGAAGCTGAAATTTTACGTTAATGACCCCCTGCCCACGCTCAACATTGCCCATTCAAATTCAGCGTTACCGTGCTCTCGGCTATAACCTACGAGCTAATGAAAGTTTTACGGGTAAATTATTATCTCGGGAACCACGGAGTCTAGGAAACTGAAATTTTAAAGTAGTGACCCCCTGCCCACGCTCAACTTTGCCTATCCAAAATCAACGTTCCCGCGCTCTTGGGTATCATCTTCGGCCTCGTGGAAATTTTGGCCGGTAAACTATTAACTCGGGAATCACGAAAAGATATTCACCCTTCAAGGTTTCGAATTGAGCTTTCATGCGCAGGTTCGTGAAATTTCTGTTTTTCAATGTTTCAACTTTTTCTGCATAGGCTAAAGTACAAAGCAGTGAAAATCATTAATAGGCAGCCGTTCGATGGGTTGAATTGCATAAAACGCATGATCGCACCGGCTAGTCTGGCGCGCGCTGCTATTTTTTTTTTCATCTGTCGTAGTCACTTTTGCCACATGATCAGCCTGGTTGTTCTTCTCGCGTACGCTGATACTGTCCACATCAGACCGGGACGCATTTCGTGTTAAAAACGTGCTGCATTTTTTACCAACATCAATCACGCATTGTTCCATGACTCGTTGAAACACTGCCAACTTTTTCTCTTCATCAAGAACAGTATTCCATTTTTCACTTTCATACAATAGTGGAGAACATTTCATTCACAGTCAATAATGCTTTAAAGTGAAATTACGTTTCGTGAATTGGTGAAAGTTATCTGTCGTATTCTTGTTCTTCTGATTAACTATAGTCCAAGTCACTGTTTACCTGTGTTGTTTGTCCCAAATAGGTATGGTTGTCAATAAGACCAACAAACTGATTACTGTTTCTCACCCACTTGGTTTTTCCGTGGATTCGCGGTCCAGCTTCCACCACACTGGTGTCGCATGCTGATGTAACAGATGCTGCATCGCTTGCAGGTTTCACACAATGAGCATAAGATGAAAGTCTGCGAAAATGAGCACCCGAATATCTAATGTTAGTCTTTTGTTCTGCCGCCTTCGGTAGGTTCTTCCTTCGGAAATTATCATAATTTTCTTGACTTCTTCTAAGCTCTTTGCAAAGCAAATTATGTTGCATGCCTATACAACATTCAGCCGCCAAATTTTTCCAAAAAACAAAAGATCCTTGGCTTACAAGCTTTCTGGACCTTTTGACCCCTGCTGCAGCAAGAGTTCGGCAGTTACTAACGAAGTTCAGCAAGAGCTCGGCAGTTGTAGTCTCCATCTTCACCACTTGATTTTCCGATTCTCGTATTCAACGGCTCTAAAGAAGAGGCTGAAGGCGACCTATTTTCACTGACGCAATATAAGGCATTGCGCCAATCCGCGCTTAGAAATTTCATTTCTGGTTCCCATGAGATAATAGCCGTGAGCGTACAGGAACATCCGTTTCCCGAATGAGGGAACACATTGACAACCAATCTTCGCCTGTCTATGAGAATTTAGTCCTAAACAAAAAACTAATGCCTCTATGCCATCAGCATGAGATCTTTGCAAGCAACGAACCCATTTCTTTGATAATATCTTCACTGCTGACCAATGAAACAGCGCAAGCGTAGACCATCGGCCCAAGTACTGGTCCTCGACCGGCCTCATCAATGCCTATAGCGCAGGGCATGCCTTCACCAAAATTCTTGAAATTTTCACTGAATTCGATTGCCGGTTCCAGAACATCCGAGATGCCTTTCGCACGCGCCATTACCTGAACAGTGCATCATTAAATTACTGTTTTAGTATGCTTGTTCCCAGAGAAGACCTATCCCTTGTTCAGTGCTAACGCATTTGGAGCAACGGCATACGACGCCAATTTCAGACCGAAAATCGAGCATTCTACTCCGTCAGTGGGACAAACAGCCTTTCGAAAGCTCGTTTTTTTCGTGGTAAACCAGTGTATAAATACTGTCAGAAGTTAAAATCATCATTAACTTGTTTTAAAAAAATAAACCTATGAGAGGGGAAGAAATCGATTTTGCAAACGCCGTCATTTGGGCTTCATCCTGTTTCCTTAATGCTCATTACAGCGTGAAAAAGGATTTTTGGTTTTCGAAAGTACTGCAGTGGCAATCGAAAGAGAATTCTTGCCTTAAACACATGCTTTTTCTAGCTAAAAGTACTCGCCGGAAAAACCGGTTGCACTTAGGGTTAAAAATCTGCGGGGAAAACTGTGCCAAAAACGCATGCAAGCACCGGCAAACCAGACGCATCGCTACTCCGATTTGGTTCTTATTTCCGATGAAACCGCCGAATTTCTCCGCACTTTGCATCACCCATTTGGTGTGGAATGTGCGCAAAAGCTCAAAATCAAAGTTGATAAAAAGTTGCAAGCCGCAGCGACAGAAATCTACACGGAGTTCCAAGAATGCAGGATTTTTTACGACAGTTGCTATGTAAGTTGAAAATTCCTCAAAATAAAATTTGGCAATTTTAATACTTTCTTTTAACCGAGAAATGCTAATTACTGCAAAAAATTTGAGCTTCTAAAAATGAGTGAAAAAAAAGCACAGCTATAGGTAATGCAGGAGCACTGTTAGCTTCAGCAGACACGATTCAGATTATTTAAATACAGCGATTTATCAAATAATATCGTGCCCGACTGCACCAACAAGCACAGCAAACACGGAAACAGCGGGTAACATCACGAAAAAAAAAAAATATCAAAACTTTTACTGAGCACCATAGAAAGATATTGAAAAAGAAAAGCAGTGCTGTGTGGAGAAACGCGAAAACATCTTTCACTTCCCTTACGAAATGCTTCACAGTGCAGACTTCTTCATGATGAGCCCACTGATTTTGCTGCAGTTTCGCTTTCTTCTAGTCGGCGTTTCAGTCTTTCATTTTCATGGCAGGCCTGGAAAAAGAAAACAACAAAACTACGATGATGAAGACAAGCTGGTAAAGATAGCAGTACTTATGAGACCAATAAGACAATATGTCATTAAACATTACAATATTCCACAACAACGAAAAAGAATTACTCCAAGGATCAGGAGAATACGAGCAGTGCAGAAAAATTTCCGTTATGAAATAATTCCAGCTTAATTAGTCTGGAATAATTGGATTATCTGTAGTTCATCGTAGGGACCTCCAACTGTGCACCTGTTTTGATCCACGTTGCAACGCGTGCTAGCCAAACTACTAGCGAACCTGATGTTCGTCTAAAAGGACCGTTTCATTAACGGCCCTTAAGTTGAAAAAATTTTGATACGTGTTGAACAACATCAGTTTATTCCGAACGATATCCACTCCTGGACCACGTAAACGAAAATTCTGCCTCTATCAAGGGAATTTCTGTTAAACCTAAACAAGTGACTATAGGGAGGAGATATATTGCAATTCTTCTTGAAGTTGTCGAGATTAGCAGCGAATTAAACGACAGGTGATACAGGACAGGGTGAAAGAAACATGGGAAGGGGTGCTAGCCGTGAAGGTAGGAAACAATATCCGTTCAAAGCAACAAAACAAGCAAGCACAACATGCACTGACACAAATTAACTAACATTTTTGAAGTCCTCAACAGTCTTATAAAAGAGCCTTTCCTTTTCGAGCAAGCTCTGGTATTCATCACTCAATGCGTCTTTTCGCGTTTGTAACTCTTTTTGCCGTATGAGAATCTGCAAGTATGAGATAAATGGGAAACTATAGCAGAAGGAAATATCAAATTCACTTTTGTTTCGCTTTCGCAGACGGAGCCTTTAAACTTTGACGCGAATGACAACTTAAAGCCTAACCTATTTTTTACGCCTAGCCTACTTTTTTTCACTTCACTCTTCTTATTATTTTCATCCGAATTGCTTGCTCTCTCTCTCGCTTTTTACTCTCCCTTCGCATGCCTAGATCTCACGTGGGGACACATGAACTTTTTGACGCCCAAACCCATCATTCTGGAGCCACAGAAGCTAGGAAGCTGAAATTTTAGAAGGATGTTCCCTGCTCACGTAGGACATCCATAACTTTAAAATCAGCCTCCAAGCGCGCCTCCGTAAATTTTTGGCGCAAAAACTATTAACTCGGAAACCAAAAAAGACAAGAAGTTAAAATTTCAAAATAATGCTCCCTGCCCGCTTACAAACTGTCCTTGCGTACGTCTGGGTATCATGCAGAGGAATGTGAAAGTTTTGGCGTCAAAATTCATGACTTCAGAACCACAAAAGCTACGAGGCTGAAATTTTAAAATAATACTCCCTGTCCGCGTAAAAATTCTTTCTCGCGTAGCTTAGGTCTAATACAAAGACGAGTAAAACTTTTTACGCCAAAACTAATAGTTGGGGAACCACAAACCCAACAGGCAGAAGTTTTAGGAGAATGTTCTTTGCCCATGCACGACTCTGTAACATAAAAATCAGCCTCCTTGTTCTCTCCGGTCTCACGTGTGGACTTTTTGGCGCCAAAATCAATAATTGGGAAACAACGAAAATTTTTTTACGGATCAAACAGTAATGCAGTGGACAATTTTAAAATCGTGGTTCCCCTGGAGAGTGTTGATTCCCTTGGTCAGAACTTTAGAAGCGCCAGCTGGACAGGATTGCACAAAACGCATGATTGCGCCAGCTTTCCTGGTGCGCATCGTTATTTATTTGAGTCTTATCAACTGTAATTCAGACAGTCGTTCTACGATTCAGACCGTTAATAAAAAAAAAAAAGATGTAAATTTAAGAATGAAAAATCTGAGAGTCAGAGGTGAAAATCACCCAGCCAATTTTACCAAAAAATGTTTCTGTCATCACACTGCAGATAATGTAATAAAATTGATCAGTTACTGTGCTCAAACTGTAAACAATTAATTGATCTTTTACAAATAGAGATGGAAAGCCTGCATAAAATGGAAATTTTTCACAGCTTGTGGAAGTAGCGTCCGACACTTCACCACATCAGCTAGTGCCAAACAAGCTCAAGTTGCTAAGTGTGGAGCATGGGGGCCTTTTTTAATGTGATGGTTAAAAAAGGACGTGATTCGAAGGAACCGGAGACAAAAAAAAATGAACAGCTCAATTCCCTTTCGACCCACGCTTCCGAAAAAGGTTCTCTAATCTGAACAGTAATTCTTTGATATGATGTTGAAATCTAATCTACTGAAACTGTGAATCCACCAACTAACAGCCTATAGCAAGGCATGGAAAAAAGCAAACCTTATCCAGAGAAGCCTCAACGCCTTTGGAAATTTTCTGAAGATTCTCA